TTCGATTTCGTACCATAATTAAATTTTTTTACATTTACAATAATACTAAATAAATACAACTAATGACATGTTCATTCGGTGCGTTTACAAATTAAATGCACTATCTAACATTAAAAATGTTGAATTCTATCTAGTAGGAACATCTAAAATAATAAGTTTTTTGCATACAACCTTTTCCCTTTCAATACAACATTTAAATTTCATCAATCGGGAAGAAGATGATCAAAAATATCCAATGAAAGTATAAAATTGGAAGGGGAAGGATAAAAACTTTTAAAAACCTAGATATTGGGCTAACAATGAAATTAATAATTGAGCCAAAAAATTAAAATAAAAAATTGAATTTAGAAATTGGTTGGGCTAGCTAGGCATGGACTTGGTTCTTATTCGATTTTTATTCGATTCTTCAGTTTTTGGTCTAGAATCAAGAACCGAATCAAATCCATCGGTTCTCGATTCAGATACAAGTTCGAGTATTTTTAACTTATGAAGAATCGCTTGGTTCAGTTCGGTTCGGATTGAATTCAGTTCGGGAGTTTTGTACAGCCCTAATCTAAGCTAAACTAAAATTATTCCCAAATTATATGATATTAAAAAAAAAATCGAAAATTCAAATCATAATTCAACAAAACTACGACGGCAAATTACACCCACGGTTTCAAAAACTCTAACATAAACTCTCATTTTTTAAACATTTGACACTTGCCGCCATTGCTAAACAAAATGCGATTCCCAATCGCAAATCATCAGTCGCCTTTCGCCTATTAGTTTGCTAATTTATACCAAAATTGCCTCTTACTTCTCTCTATGTAAGTCTCTGATTCTCGTTCTACCCAATTTTTTCATTTTTCTTTCTTTTATTTGTAGTTTTTAAAATTATTATACACTTATGAGTTGTAATTTAGATTAAAAAAATGATTATTTGTATGCTTATATAATTAATGAACTTGTTTGTAAGTTGAAAGGAACAAAAAACATAGCGTATTGATTGTGAGAAAGCTGTTAAAGTTCCCCAACTAGTACTACTACCTTCTATTTTTTCAAAGTAGGTAGAGAATGAAATTTGTCAATTCCCAATAAACCTGAACTCGATCATTCTTTATACATTTAAGCATATCACGTTCAATCTTTATTTCTCATCTCACTAGTAGGACAAAAAGGAATTTTAAGCAAAACGATTACAACAGAATGTGACCATGCTTTTATCAACCGCTATGTGACAACATGAAAAACAAATAAAAAAAGGTAAATAAAAAGGAAGAAAGATATATTTGTTCTATTAATATCTTTTAGTAACCAACATTGAAAAATAATTTATTCACGGGTGGTTTCATGTGAAAAATGAATGTAATTTAATATTTAATATTATTAGTTCTCGTTTAAACTTGTATGTTAACTTGTTTTAAATATATTACTATAATGTCGATAAGTAAACCATAGATTAAAATCAAACCAAACCGCAAATTATAGTTTGGTTTGGTTTGTTTTGAAAAATAAAATGGTTTGGTTTGAAATTTTTCAAACCACTCTAACTTAACCGCGTTCACCCCTACATGGTGGTACAACATGTGAAACTCAACGTCGCGTTAATTACATCATTTAAATGTTAATCTTTCTCGTTTGTGCAAGCAACTTACGAGAAATAACCTCAACCACACAAGAAATTCATGGCAAGGGAACAAAATATACCTCATCCAACAAGGAAAGTGAAACGAGCTTCAATTTTCATCATCATGATCTACATCATCAAACATCTCCTTTTTCTAGCATGATCGGTTGGTGCATGCCGCGTCGATATAGTGCCAGACACATGGTATTCCTCTACCGTACCTATTCTCATTTTTTGTCAATTTTCGGCACACATCTTTGTTAGTGGAATATCTTTTTCCCCTCCATTGATATTTTCTGCTATACAATGCATTAGAGAAAAAGGCTTTTTTGCAGTGCCCTTGTTTTTCCATGCACTTAATTGGAATCGCGTGCCCTTCCCCAAATCATTTTGTCCTCCATTACCTCCTTGCACTTGTGTATGTATCTATATGTACGTATTATCCGTAACAGATGAAGCACACTATGATTACAAGGTTGTACTTTGATAAAATATATTGTAGCACTTTGTATATGTCGAGCATTTTTAGATTCACTTGCAAGCCACAATATTCGTCAAGTTGAGTTCTAGTTAATTAGCTAAGAGACGTGCTAGGTATAGTCCACTCGATTAGTATGTCTTAGGCAACAGAAGATGTTATTCGATGGATTTAAATTGAACTTATTGAGAGTCACTTCATCAACAGCGAACATGGGAAAAAAATATTAAATGCGGATTTAAGACCTTTCGAAGTATATGACAAGTGCAGAGAGAACCTTTCAGTTTCAAAACTTAGAGAGATAGATAGCTCGACATTTACTTAGGACTATTACTTTTTAGAAGTTGCGAATTGCATCACATGTTATAAATGGCATAACTCATGAATTACACAAAGTAAAAGTAGGTGTTACACGGCGTAATTTTCTCAGCTATCTAAATTCGAAGACAAAGTGAAGCCCACGTTACGCAAGACAATAAAAATGGATAAAAGCAAAAGGATATTTCTTAGTGCAATGCACATAATGGAAGCAACCTTTTGAATAGTGAAGCTAGGCAAAACTATGGCATATGAAATGTATGATTTACTTCAAAGGGGAAAGTGGGTTGCTTTTATTCATAAAGTCGAGGAATATATTTGTTGACCTCGAAAAATGGATATCCGTAACAGATGAAGCACACTAAGATTACAAGGTTGTACTTTGATAAAATATATTGTATCACTTTGTACATGTCGAGCATTTTTAGATTCACTTGCAAGCCACAATATTCGTCAAGTGGAGTTCTAGTTAATTAGCTAAGAGACGTGCTAGGTATAGTCCACTCGATTAGTATGTCTTAGGCAACAGAAGATGTTATTCGATGGATTTAAATTGAACTTATTGAGAGTCACTTCGTCAACAGCGAACATGGGAAAAAAATATTAAATGCGGATTTAAGACCTTTCGAAGTATATGACAAGTGCAGAGAGAACCTTTCAGTTTCAAAACTTAGAGAGATAGATAGCTCGACATTTATTTAGGATTATTACTTTTTCGAAGTTGCGAATTGCATCACATGTTATAAATGGCATAACTCGTGAATTACACAAAGTAAAAGTAGGTGTTACACGACGTAATTTTCTCAGCTATCTAAATTCGAAGACAAAGTGAAGCCCATGTTACGCAAGACAATAAAAATGGATAAAAGCAAAAGGATATTTCTTAGTGCAATGCACATAATGGAAGCAGCCTTTTGAATAGTGAAGCTAGGCAAAACTATGGCATATGAAATGTATGATTTACTTCAAAGGGGAAAGTGGGTTGCTTTTATTCATAAAGTCGAGGAATATATTCATGTCTCTAATTCAACACAGACAACGTCTCTCTGCAAATGCATATCCACATAGACAAAAGTACTCTCCTTCACTTTTCGCGTAACCAACTTTTGTAACAAGTACATCTGGGTTGAATTCACCTTTAAAATAAGTTAATAAGAAGGCGGGCATTCAATGTGCTTTCAAAACCAACAAAACAAGTTTTCCACGAGCAATGTAAGGCTCAAAAAGTAGTTACTGCACTGTGTTGATTTCAGAATTGGTCTATGATAATTATTTCTCAATTAGGTGACTCCAAGAAACTGGTCTTTTATTGAAAATCTACCTTTTCAAGTTGTGTATTTCTTGCAATGTTACTCCAAGAAGGGATGATCGTACTAATCATTTGTACTATAATTACTTGAATAGAATTCACTTTTCAAGGTACAAATGATAAATGTGCTTATACACCCATAACATATTTTACGGGCAATGTAATATAGATCCCTAAAATATCATCATAGCAATGTCATTTTCATAATTAGTCATAGAAAGAAGGGGCCGTTTTGAAGCCCAATTACATGGACCGAGTTCGAAGAATTTGGAGATGGATCCTATGCTAGGAGGTCTAACCCAATACGTATCAAAAATGAGCCTTTGATAGCACATTTTGTTGAAATAAAGAGCTTGTTTCAACCATATTTTTCGCAGAGAATGCTTTTGATAATAATAGATTGATGAATAATGTGATTAAAAATAAGAAATTTTTTTAAATTTGAGTGTCTTATTATTTTATGAAACAATGTGTGATTGAAAAAAGTAGAAAAANAAAAAAAAAAAAAAAAATAATTTAAAAAAAAAAGGAAAAAAACAACCAAAAAAAAAAAAATTTAAAAAAAAAAAAAAAAAAAAAAAAAAAAAAAAAACTGTATTAAGGTAATGACATTATTTTTGGTAACTGGCTCCAATTAAAGTACAAAACAATAAAAAACAATTGATTAAAATTAATCAAAAGCCGACCAACTAAATATCATACTTGATTGACACCAAACTTCTATATTTTGTTTTTCTTCAAAAATCGCACTTTAAAAAAATCACTGAGGTCCTCCTTTTCTGGTCGTATAAGTAAACTTTATAGCTTATAGCTTAGCCAAAGTTCATGTGTCGAAAATGTAATGCCTCAAAACTCTGCTTAGCAACAGAAAAAATCTGTTGGGTGGGATCACATTTGACGCAGCTTCCTCAAAGTTACAGAGGTCCTCCTTTTCTGGTCAATCTCTAGGCCTTGCCAATTTTGAAATCCAGGCTTTCGATTTATCTCATGTTTCCACATATAACGTGCCTCTCCCCACATTAAGACCAGGGATCCTGGGATCAGAAGTACAGGAATCTTGTGTTCTTTGCCTGTCTCTTCAAAACAGTCGACTTCACTTTCAACCCGACTAAAATGCATCACGCAGGATGACTCCAGGGAGATTACTGCAATTCCATCTTCAAAGCGCATAAGATCAACATGTGCACCAATTCCCTGCACGTAATAATAAGTTCACGGGGATAAGTTCTAGATGAGAACACGCGTGAAAATGATGAATTTTCGAGAAATTGTAGCCAACCAATAACGAACTGTGCCTATGAAGCACCAACACTTGTATTAGGGTGACATGTTTGTGTCCAACATGTATTAGACATCACCACTCCTCGAATAGTTCAGACCAAGTGTCGGACAAGTCACGTAGTGTGCCCTGTTTTTTATATTCAACACTCAATGAACACTTCCAGGACATGCTATGGGCAAGTGTCTGGAAGTTGATGTGTTCAAAGACGGTATGTTTTAAAACCTCATAAATAGCTCAAGAATCATATCTCACCTCACCTGGTTGATAAATGTTTACTATAAGTTGATTGAAAAGCGGTTCCCTCCATAATAACTTGGGTGGAAAGAGACGAGCTTCTTTACCCTTATCGATAGTTTCTTCTTCGTCTGTGAATTCAGAAACATGATCACTTGACAGTACACTTTCACGGACATAGGAGGAAAGTTCAACAGACCAAGAAGGAAGATCTCCAAACCTCATTGCCTGCAAAGAACAAGATAACAAATGCCTACATTATCATTAAATGTGTTCGCACCATTTTCAAATGCTGATTTCAAACCAAATAAGAAAATGCAAACAGTGATATTTACAGGTCATACCCCTGCTAAAGTGGCAGAATAATAATTGTATGCACCTAATTTCTAAAATGGAAGGGCAATTAGTTTATGAACAGATTGAATGCCTTGAGATATGGTAAAAAGCTAGAGCATCTCAAGCATTATGTTTAACGGGATTAAAACTAACCCCTTAATTTGAAGATATTCCCATGACCATCCATAACCCCAGCCCCCCACCTCCCCAACCCTGAAACCAAATCGAGAAAATTACTTTCAGGGAGGTTCTTTGTCACCTATGACACGATCTAGTACTATTATTAACAATAATGTTATCAGCTTGTCGTCCTGTCCTATTTCTGGTCTATCTTCTCCACACATCATCAATGTATTCCACCAGGAAGGAGGAATGCTTATTATTTTGTGCTTTTATAAGTACTTAAAAATTGAAATGCTTATAATTTTGTGCTATCATTTAAGGGTCCAGCACAGATACAGCTTATATTTCACCTACAAATTAACTTATTTTGAAAATACTTGTTTTTCCAAATTCCAATCTTGAACAAGATTTGCATCCGTTCTCAGTTCCAATTCTACCATTAGATTATCCATACAGCTATGAGGGATATTTACAGCACAGAAACAATACCAGACTAAACCGATATTCATAATTCAGACCTACCATTTAGAACTAAAAGAGTTAAGATTGCGTGCAAAGACCTGGTTATGGGAGGCGTCTGCAAAACATCCTTCTGCAACCACAAATATTAGAAAAGGCAAATCTTTAACACTCGACGACATGTTAGAATTGTTGGGGTTTTTTCCCATTTTACTAAACTATCATTGTATGTTTGATAAGGTAGAATAGATACAAGGGAGGTATTAAAGAATAAAAAGAATCTAAAATCTAGCCAATACAGTAAGGTGCAATTCTACATACTAGATATGCCCTAACATATAAACAAGATTTTAACTTCCTCTCTATCTCTTAATTACGTCCAATACTATCCAATTCAACTTACCAGTACAAAAGTGATTACCTTTTTCGATAGAAGAAAGCAAGGAGGATTGTTGATCTGGAGATAAAAAGTCTCTACAAATCCACAGGCCGCTGATTTCAGTAATCGGTTCCCAGGTATAGCTATCCCCAAAAATCGGTTGACTGAAAAGCTTAAATACTGAACTTACACCTAATTCGCAATCGCTATCGGATGAATCCCCAAATGCTTCCCTCAGAACCGCTTTCAATTTATCATTCATTTCGATTCCCCTGTTTCTCAATTTTCTCAAAGAAAAATGATCTTTCAATCGGAATTTTAGATCGAGAAGAAGTTAAACATCGTACTGGAACAGATTTACATAGCTTTATGCATTTTTAGGACAAAATGGAATTAATTTTGTTGAATTTAAGAGGTGGTTTGACCGAGATTAAAATCGGATTAAAATTAAAAATATAGTGTTATTGTTGACTTGTATTAGACGAGTGGGATCCAATAACTGCTATATTTTCAATTTTAATTGAATTTTAATTGCTATCCAACAAGCTCTTGGGCTCATTTGGGCTCACTCAGGCTCAATTGCTTGTTTCTATTGGAATAACATATGTAGCGAGGAGGAAATGGACGCAGGAGGTACTTTGAGAGGAGAAGCAAAAATGTTCAAAATCCGACGGATGAAACAAAAGTAATCGGGCTAACAACGATCACCGGACGGACTGTAATAACAAATAAGAATATGTGGAAGGATAGATAAAATATGTATAGGAATTGTTACATTGTATGTCAAAATTTATGTCCAATAAACATGTAAAGAAGACGAAAAAATATTCAATCAACCGTTTATATGAAATTCTTGAGAGTTCAAATGTATATTTTGAATATATGATTGTCCAAATTCCAATAAATAATTCTCCCCTTTTTCAATTATAAAGAGAACTTATGTATAAAGTCTTGGCCGACTTGGTGATCGTTGGATCAGAACCACGTGACCTCATCTTTTAATTGAGACTTCACATCACTGTCTACTCATATAATTAATACATTAATAAAGGGTCAGCCGTTCTATACCATAAGATGGCACACTCACAAACTTTATTATAAGTATTACATCAATCACTTATAAGAGATCTTCAGATCTATTGCAAAAGGCAGCGTCGGCTTCATGAGCTTCAAACGAGCTTGAGAGCCTCGGAAAGATCTTTGAGGTGGTTCTTCTAAGTGGAGAGCCACAATCTAAGTTGTAGTGCTTCATCCTCGAGGCAGTGGCTCAACATAGACTTCAGCTTTACAAAGTAAGGACTTCAGTTTGTGTGTGATCTCTTCATACTTTGACATCATGGGTCTTTTTTTGACTTTCTCGTTGACTTTCTGCCTATGCGGCTTGCTATGTAACACTTTTACTTTGAGCCTTAAAGGCGAGGCGTAACACAATATTCAGATTTACAAGTTTTTATTTCAAAAATCAGATGATAATTAAAATTTTAAAATATTAATAATTATATTACAAAATTAAATATACATATTCATTCTACCCAACCATACACACCAAAACCCTAATTATTTCATTTTCTCCATTTTCTCTCTTCTCTCTCTATATCCATATCTCTCTCATCTACATAGTCATCTCTCTAACTCACCGTATCACACACACACTCTCTCTTTTATCCCACTCTCTTTCTACTCTACCTCCCATTCTCTCTACCTCACCATCGCCGCCAGACGAGAAGACGTTGGAGCAACGCTGCTTGAGATCGTGCACTGTCGTCAGCAACGATCTGTCAACCTCCGCCCGTACCTGAGGGCTCTATTTCGCAGCCGTTGCGACGACTTCGTCCCTGCAGCGATCTGCGAAGCACCGCATGGTGGTGGTGGTTCAATGGTGTTGGTGGCACTACTGTTTTGTTGCGTTGTGGGGCTTTGTTGGTGGTGACGGGGTGGGCTGTTTTGAGGGTTGCGTGGTGCGAGGTGGTAGTGTAGATGTTGGGGCAGCAAGTTGTAGTCGACGATAGTAGAGTTTAGATGGTGTCACAGTGGTGGTCACGGTGGTGGTGGCATTGACGGTAATGGATTTGAGGAAGTGGTGGTCGTGTTGGCAGCGGTGATATGGGGAGTGTTGGTGAGGTTGTGGGGTGTTGGATATGGTGGTGGATGTGGTTTTGTTGGTAGCGGCGGTGGGTTTGTCGAGGTGGTGGTGGAATGGCGTGATGATATGGTGGTGTTTTTCTGCGATGCGTTGATTAATATGAGGTGGTTGTGTTGCTGATGAGAGGTGGTGGTGGTGGTGGTTCTGGCGGAGAAGGTAGCGGTGGTGCTGCTGGAGGGAGTGGTGCAGTGGATGATTAATTTGAGGTGGTTGTGTTGCTGTTGAGAGGTGGTGGTGGTGGTGGTTCTGGCGGAGAAGGTAGCGGTGGTGCTGCTGGAGGGAGTGGTGCAGTGGTAGTTACAAGTGTTGGTTGTGGTCACAAATTATTTGGTTGATTATGACCATTAAATTGGTTAATCTGTAACCAATAAACAATATGTGACCAATAAAAAAATAAATTGTGACAAGAAATAATATGTGAGCTAAAAATTTGTTAATTTGTGACTGATAATTTAACAATTTGTGACTATATACTAAGTTTTGACTTATAGTATTTGTGAGTTGTGATCAATAAATCAATCGTAACGTATAAATTTTTTATTTGTGACAGAGGAACAAATTAACCTATAAAATTTCTGAATTGTGACCGTAAAATAATTTGAAACATATAAAATTTCTGTTTATGAACGAAATATAATATGTGACTAATTAAATTGATAGATTTGTGACCGGTGAATGAACTATGACGTATAAATCTTTGATTTGTGATCAATGAACAAATTGTGGCCTATAAAATTTTTGAATTGTAACCGTAAAATAATTTGTAACATATAAAAATTGTTATTTGTGATCAATTAATAATATGTGAATAGTTATATGGAATTTGTGACCAAATTATATGAAATTGTGACCTTAATATATTTAATTAATAAAATATATGTCTAATTAATTAATTTATAAATAAAATTTGAAAAAGTCTGAGATTTGAAATTTTAAACCTTGATCTCGTAAATTTGAAATTGGTGAAACTTAACCTCTTAGTTATGTAATCTTCCCATTAATTTTTGCATGAATTATTGTCTGGTGGTCAAATGGAGTAGGGCCTGTCCAATCTTTGAATGGGCATCATTTGTGTGATTGTACTATTTGTTTCAACGTGGCCTCAGGTTGTGACCTAGCGGGCTAAGATAATTATAGAGGGGGGAAGTTATGTTAGCAAAAAAATTAAAAAATGTCAAATTACATGTTTGTCTACTGAAATGTGTCTAATTTTGATAACTCTTACAAAAAAATAGTCAAATTTGGCATCAAATTGTCATTTATACATGGAGACATGGTGTCTCCGTGCGCCATGGAGACACTCTGTGGACCGTCTCCGTGCGCGAACGAAGACATGGGTCGTGTCTTCATTTTTTATTTATTTTTTAACACACTAATCTGTGGGTCGTATCTTCAGACCAACAATGATGAAGGTGACGGGGCCATGTCTTGTAGAGAAACTGCTACGGGAGCTGCAGCTCCAGCATCAACCTCTTCCTCCAGATTACCATAATCAATTGCAGGATCCTTCCCCTGTTTTTTAAAGTCTTTCATTCTTCTGATTTCATCTTTAAACTATTTCTTCTGAAGTAGCTTCAACTGATAGTCGTACTCTTCAAAATATGACCCTCAAGGGGGCTGCCCCCAAAATGTAATATTATTTGAGAAAAAAAAAAAAGGAAGACTTGCATCCAAAATCATCGAGAGAAAAAAAATTCTCCGTATGTCACACATACGGAGACATGTCTCGTGTCTCCGTGGTGCACGAAGACATGGGTCGTGTCTCCTTTTTTTTTTTTTTTAACACACCAACTCTAACCCTGAACTAATTAAATATGAAGTTTTCTGATTTTTACAAAACTAAAAGCAAAAAATTAAACCCCTAAGAATATAGAGTTATAAAAAAAAATTGTTCTAACTAATACCAACAAAGATAGAGACATCAATTCCACCGACTACAACCATCAATCAAACCAAACATGAATTTTTTTTTTTTGTGGGAATCTTTAATCAAAACGCTCACTTCCCTGCAATGTACCAATTATATTTTCATACACACACATTACACCCATGAACTAATTAAATATGAAGTTTTTTAATTTTTACATAGCTGAAAGCAAAAAATTAAACCCCTAACAATATAGAGCTATAAAAAAACTTTTCTAACTCAGATCAACAAAGATGAAGGTGCCAGGGCCATGTTTGGTAGAGGAAATGCCACGGGTGCTGCAGTTCCAGCGTCTGCTTCTTCCTCCAGATTACCATAATCAGTTGCAGGATCCTTTCCTCGTTTTTTAAATTCTTTCATTCTTTTGATTTCGTCTTTAAACTATTTCTTCTGAATTAGCTTCACCCGATAGTCGTACTCTTCAAAATATGCCACTCGTGGGGGCTTCGGGACAACGCCCCCGAAGGAGAATGTTATTTGAGAAAAAAAAGGAAGATTTGCATCCAAAACCATTGAAAAAAAATTCTTCGTGGTGCATGGACAGTGTCTCCACGCACCACGAAGACACCATATCTCATGATTCTGTGGTGGACGGAGACATGGATAGTGCCTCCCTTTTTTTTAACACACCAACCTTGAACTAATTAAATATGAAGTTTTTTTATTTTTAGATAACTAAAAGCAAAAAATTAAACCCCTAACAATATAGAGCTATAGAAAAAACTCATCTAACTAAGACTAACAAAAATGAAGGTGGCAGGGCCATGTCTGATAGAAGAACTGCCATGGGAGCTGTAGCTCTAGTGTCAGCCTCTTCCTCCAGATCACCATAATCAGTTGCATAATCCTTCCCTTGTTTTTTAAATTCTTTCATTCTTCTAATTTCGTCTTTAAACTGTTTCTTCTGAAGTAGTTTCACCCGATAGTCGTACTGTTCAAAATATGCCCCTTGTGGGGGCTGGGGGCAACGCCCCCGAAAGAAAATACTTTTTGAGAAAAAAGAAGGAAGAATTTTATCCAAAACCATCAAAAAAAAATTCTCCATGTATCACGAAGACATGGGTCTCCGTCTCTGTGCGCGCACAGAGACAGGTCTCGTGTCTCCATGGTGCACGGAGACATGGGTCGTGTCTTCTTTTTTTTTTTTTAACAGACCAACCCTAAACTAATTAAATTTGAAGTTTTCTAATTTTTACATAACTAAAAGAAAAAAATTAAACCCCTAAGAATATAGAGCTATATAAAAAAAACTTTTCTAACTCAAACCAACAAAGATGAAGGTGGCAGGGCCATGTTTGGTAGAGGAACTGCCACGGGAGCTGCAGCTCCAACATCAGCCTCTTCCTCTAGATTACCATAATCAGTTGCAGGATCCTTCCCCTATTTTTTAAAGTCTTTCATTCTTCTAATTTTGTCTTTAAACAGTTTCTTCTGAAGTAGCTTCACCCGATAGTCGTACTCTTCAAAATATGCCCCTCGTGGGGGTTCGGGGGCAACGCCCTCAAAAGGAAATGTTATTTGACCAAAAAAAAAAGACTCGTATCCAAAATCATCAAGAAAAGAATTTCTCTGTTGTGCACGGAGAGTGAATCCACGCACTACGGAGACACCATGTATTCGTGACACATGAAGACATGATGTCTCCGTGGCACATGGAGCCCGTGTCTCCGTAGTGCACGGAGACATGGGTTGTGTCTCCCTTTTTTGTTTTTTAACACCCCAACCCTGAACTAATTAAATATGAAGTTTTCTGATATTTACATAACTAAAAGCAAAAATTAAACCCCTAAGAATATAAAGGTATAAAAAAAACTTTTCTAACTCAGACCAACAACGATGAAGGTGGAACTGCCATGGGAGCTGTAGCTCCAACGTTAGCCTCTTCTTCCAGATTACCATAATCAATGCAGGATCCTTCCATTCGTCTTTAAACTATTTCTTCTAAAGTAGCTTCACCCAATAGTCGTACTCTTCAAAACATGTCCTTCGTGGGGACTCGGGGCAACGCCCCCGAAAGGAAATGTTATTTGACAAAAAAGACTCGTATCCAAAATCAACGAGAAAAAAAATTCTCTGTGGTGCACGGAGAGTGAATCTGCGCACCACGGAGACATGAATCTCGTGTCTCCGTGGTGCAAGGAAACACTCTGTGGGGCACGGAGACATGGGTCGGGTCTCCGTTTTTTTTTTACTCACCAACCCTGAACTAATTACATATGACGTTTTCTGATTTTTACATAAGTAAAAGCAAAAAAATTAAACCCCTACGAATATAGAGCTATAAAAAAAACTTTTCTAACTCAGACCAACAACGATGAAGGTGGCAGACCCTATCTCATAGAGGAATTACCACGGGAGCTGCAACTCCAGCGTCAGCCTCTTCCTCCAGATTACCATAATCAGTTGCAGGGTCCTTCCCTTGTTTTTTAAATTCTTTCGTTCTTCTGATTTCGTCTTTAAACTGTATCTTCTGAAGTAGCTTCACCCGATAGTCGTACTCTTCAAAATATGCCACTCGTGGGGCTCCGGAACAACATCCACGAAAGAAAATATTATTTGAGAAAAAAAAAAGGAAGGCTTGTATCCAAAACCATCAAGAAAAAAAATTTCTCCGTGGTGTACGGAGAGTGTCTCCACGCACTACGAAGACACCATGTCTCGTGTTTTCGTGGTGCACAGAGACATAGGTCGTGTCTCCTTTTTTTTTTTTTAACACACCATTCCTAAACTAATTAAATATAAAGTTTTCTGATTTTTACATAATTAAAAGCAAAAAAATTAAACCCCTATGAATATAAAGCTATAAAAAAAAAACTTATCTAACTCAAGACTAACAAAGATGAAGGTGGCGGGCCATGTCTGGTAGAGGAACTGCCATGGGAGCTACAGCTCCAGCGTCAGCCTCTTCCTCCAAATTACCACAATCAGTTGCAGGATCCTTCCCTTATTTTTTAAATTCTTTCATTCTTTTGATTTCATCTTTAAACATTTCTTCTAAAGTAGCTTCACCCCATAGTCGTACTCTTCAAAATATAGCCCTCGTGGGGGCTTGGGATCAACGCTCTGAAAGAAAATATTATTTGAGCAAAAAAAAGGAAGACTTATATCCAAACTATCCAGAAAAAAATTCTATGTGTGTCACAGAGACATGGCACCATGTCTCAGTGACACATGGAGACATGGTGTCCCTGGTGCACAGAGAGATGGGTCTCCGTCTCCTTACGCGCACGGAGACAGGTCTAGTGTCTCCATGGTACACGACGACAAGGGTTATGTCTTCGGTTTTTTTTTAACACACCAATCCTAAACCAATTAAGCGTGTGTCTGGACACGTTTTTCAGCCTGATTTCAATTGATTTTATTACCATTGAACCAGTCAACGGTAAAAAAAAACCAATTAATCTGCAGAACTTCTAGGTGTGTTGTGTCAGAACCAAACGTTTTAAAAATCAAATTTCACTTTTTGGCAGCTCCACTAGACAGGCCCTAAATATGAAGTTTTCTGATTTTTACATAACTAAAAAAAAAAAATTAAAATTAAAATTAAACCCCTAAGAATATAGAGCTATAAAAAAAACTATTCTACCTCAGACCAACAAAGAAGAAGGTTGCAGGGCCATGTCTGGTAGAGGAACTGCCACGGGAGCTGCAGCTCCAACGTCAGCCTCTTCCACCAGATTAACATAATCAGTTGCATGATCATTCCCCTATTTTTTCTAGTCTTACATTCTTTTGATTTCGTCTTTAAACTGTTTCTTCTGAAGTAGCTTCAACTGATAGTCGTACTCTTCAAAATATGTCCCTCGTGGGGGCTTGGGGACAACACCCCCGAAATGAAATGTTATTTGAGGAAAAAAAAAAGGAAGAGTTGTATCAAAAATCATCGAAAAAAAAAAATTTCTGTGTGTCACGGAGACATATGTCTCCATGCTATGTCTCTGTGGTGTACGAAGAGTGTCACTGAGACATGAACTTTCCGTGTCTCCGTGGTAGACGGAGCCCGTGTCTCCGTGGCGCACGGAGATACTATATAGTGTGCGGAGACATGGGTCTCCGTCTCCGTGCGCGCACGGAGATAGATTCGTGTCTCTATGGTGCACAGAGACATGGGTCGTGTCTCCCTTTTTTTTATTTAACACACCAACCCTAAACTAATTAAATATGAAGTTTTCTGATTTTTACATAACTAAAAGCAAAAAATTAAATCCCTAAGAATATAGATCTATAAAAAAAAACTTTTCTAACTCAAACCACCAAAGATAGAGGCATCAATTCCACCGACTACAACCATCAATCAAACCAAACGTGAATTTTTTATTTTTATTTTTGGGAATCTTTAGAACGGAAGAAATTAAAACGTTCACTTTCCTCCGATCTACCAATTACATTTTCATACACACACATTACACCCAAATAAAATCAAATTATAAACTCAATTAACATCATAAGCTAAAAACAATTATCAAGCATTCACAGAATTTAACTTCTTTACACACACATTGTATCCAAGAATCCATTTTTTTACATATCAGACACAAGAAACAATTTTATTAATTCTCAAATCATAAAAAATCTCACAATCAATTCAAACTTTGGACTTAATCAAATACTCACCCATGAAAGAAAAAATAGAAAAGGTACCTCGGGTTCTTGATCTAGTGTTTGAGATGATGGGGAGTCTCCGAAACTATATATTTTATTTCATTCAATCAAAATACCGTGTGTGTGTGGGGGGGGGGGGGGGNGGTCAAACGGAAATTTCTTGACAAAATTAGAGCAGAGAGAAAAAGAAGAAGAAAGAAGAAATCTTACGATATAGGTTAATGTGGGGAATGGAGGAGTAAAGAGACATGGTTGGTTGAGTGGAAAAATGGAGAAAAAGCAAAGACGGAGTGGCGTGTCAGATTTGTGGGGGAAATGGAGAAAGCAAAGCGTGTGGGAGAAATGGAGAAAAAAATTGAATTTTGAGGACGATAGTAAATCGTGACACGTGGTGTGCCAGTGTTTTGCCTCTTTTATTTTATAGTGATGTGAAATTCCGGATTGGTTATGTTCCGTTGAAATTGACTTCTAATTTTGTTGTAGGAGAATATATGATGGAAGATGTGGAATATGATTTCTAGAAGAATCCGAAAATGTGAACGTGGATTACAACATTTATATAGATGAAGATGAAACGGTATTAGGAGATGGTATAATTGTGCTAGAGGTGATCATGAAGTTCAAGGACAAAAAAGAGGTCTTCAATTTTTACAAAAGATACGCTTACAAAGTAAGTTTTCCAGTGAGGAAAAATGAACTCGAGAAATGATGATGATGATGATGGAGTTTTATTATATGTGACGTTCACATGTAGTCGTGAAGGCCAGAGAAGTTGTTGCATAAGCGATTCTTTAAACCCGCAACTAACAATTCAAACAGGTAGTAAAGCCAGGATCTCTGCATGTGCAAATAATCATGGTTATTGGAAAATAAACACAGTGCATCTTGACCACAATCATTAAACAAGTTCTACGAAGTCGATGTTATATCGATACAATCGAGAACTGAGTGTACATGTGAAACGAAAGCTTGAAGTAAATGATATGGCAGGAATTCCGTTGCACAAAAGTTTCAAGTTTCAACCCGAACCGTTCCATTCATGTTTGCTTCTACACTTCACTTTCTGTTGCGGATCTTCACATTCAGAGATATATGGATTTCTTCGTCATCTTTAAGCCGAACTTGAGATTGGAAAATGTGGGACATGTCGTCAATTTCAGTACTAACGTTGCTCGATCCGCCGTTTGATTCTCCAATGTCGCACCACTCCCAAAATCCACATTTCCCACTACAATATTTGAAGAATTTGCCTTTGTTAGCAGTATCCCTTCCACCTCAAAACATTTTTGAAAAATGTTACATTGTGGACATCTGTGTTTTGTCGGTCCAAAGAAGTGGCCCTTATGCAACTGTAACATACTCTTCTATTCTTTCCTGTCATTCTAATAATATAATAACACAATAAAAACCACATCATGAATACACAAACGAGTGGAATCTAAATTGAATTGTTCCAAGAATATTTATATAATTAGTGAATGGCTCAAGAATGGCCAAATGAATGGCTCCTGCACTCTATGTCCAAGTGACAATTTCACACAAAAACTTGGAGCTTATTTAGTATGAAGAAGACGACCACAAACATGAAGGTCATGCTTCAACCAAAATTGTAAACAAAACCTTCATGTCCCAAACTGAACATAAAAAATCACTTCAATTTTTAACATTTTATGAAATCTCCAAGTATAATTCACCCACAGAAAAATTGCTTACTGTCAAATAACAATACCATGTTTTCTAAAATCCACATCTTTAATTCTACTCAGTAATCGACGATATCTAACCATATTACAATTCCGTGTATAACTAAGAGCATACAGGATAATGTCAAAATCGTGTTCTGAAAAATTATACCAACTATGCTTACTATCAAAAATCCAAAAATCTCAAAATAAAAGTAAAACTAACAGCAAAGCACGAGGGTTTACACCCAACACAGTGCACTTTCAAAAATCCAAACACTATCGTAGCTTACACGAGACTGCGACGCTTTGATGAATGTGATGACAAGGCTGGAGGTGTCATATCTTACAGGAGGCCGCACCATCACATCCGTGCAACACATTTTAATACAACAAAATTCGAAATGAGGACAATGACAACAAAATTCTCTAATTTCCCATATCATCTCATCGAAAGTACATTATCCAGCCAAAAAAGGTTTGAGCAGTAATTATAAAAGAAATACTACAATAATTATTCAAAATGCAGAAAAAATAATAAAAGCATAGTCTTCTCACACGGGTAAGATAACTAAAGAATGCCACACTGCAAGAAATGAGGACTAGTAGATTGAATACTTGTCTGCAACACCAGGCCAGAGCTTCCTGTAAATGGAAATTGCAGTCGGAATAATAGCAGCAAGCGCAAGAGAGAGATTCTCCGAATTACTTGTCCTTACGGTGATCTGACCACTGAGCTTGTTGTTAATCCCGGCTCGGACAGCAACCTTAGAATTACGCCCAATTGAGAACTGAGCCAGGCTGTTGAACCCAAGAGCTAAGTCTCCACGCCATTTAATCACAGACATGCTGAGGGTCGATTGAACCTGGCCCATTGGAGAGTCAAGCTCCTTTCGTTGCAATTCGAAGTTGGCTCCATATGCAGTATCACTCTGTGAACGAACAGCACCACAGCTACCAACCAAAATATACTGTTTTCCCAATGTAATCTGATCCTCAATTTTCACACCAGGCACCACATTTTCACCTAGAAAAGTAACAGACATTCCACCAGCTGCCTTGTTCTTCTTCAAATTTTTGAATTTGGTTTCACCTCGGACAATGTATGCAAGTTGCTTTCCTATACTTTGAATATCAAACCCTGCCATGCTCGAGATATTCTCTCCGTGCTTAACTGAAACCGAGGAATCCAAACTGAGGGTGAAGTCTTTCTTATCTTTCGTGATTTGAACTGTAAATGCAGCTGGGAAGCGATTAGCAATAGCGAGGCCATGTTCGAGGTTAACACCATCATAGCCACAATCATGGTCCCAACCATGGGTATCGAGAACTGGTCTTGCAAGAAACTGAGAAGTTGGCTCCAAGAATCGGTATCTGTAGGCAGGATTATCGCCATCAAATGAAGGTGGCAGGGCCATGTCTGGTAGAGGAACTGCCACAGGAGCTGCAGCTCCAGCATCAGCCTCTTCCTCCAGATTACCATAATCAGTTGCAGGATCCTTCCCTCGTTTTTTAAATTCTTTCATTCTTCTGATTTCGTCTTTAAACTGCTTCTTCTGAAGTAGCTTCACCCGATAGTCGTACTCTTCAAAATATGCCTTCTTCTGTTCTTTGCTGAGCTTAGCTATCTGAGCTTTCCTCAGAGGCTTAAAGGGAGGAAGCTGGTCATATTCATCTTCTCCTTCTTGATCAGAATCCGAAAAATCATCCAAGTCTATATCAGAATCAGCATTGTCACCACCCTGCTCGGATGGAAGCTTTGGATGTGCACGAGACTGCAACATCGATGACAACATGTACGGAAGAGGTGGTGAGCGAACTCGAAAACCAAAGAGCTTGCGGTGGTCAAATGGATCTTGGGGTTTTGAGAGAGAACTTGCTTCTGATAATATCTTCATCGAGTAGCATAACAACAACAACTGAGATCTCCAAATCTGGCCATTGGGAAGTATTTTCTGACCATCCCTATTCTTCCGACAAGAGGGGTGGTTTTCCACAAGAGAAACGGGATTCATGAGACTTGGACTCATCATACGTAGATCACCAACCGCATGCCCAATGGACTGCTGGACAACATGAGATCTTTGAGCAACAAAAGCCTCGTAACTCAAAGGAGTACCAGAAGGACCGTCTGGAGGTGCAGAGGCACCATGTGTAAGGGTGACTATTGCACTTCTCCAGATAGAGGGGCCAAGAGAACTAGTAACAGTCCTCAGTAGTGGTAGGTCGTTAAGATCTCTGGTTTGAGCATCCAATCGATCCACATAGAAGACGACATCTGGGGAGCTTTTCTTTGTGAACTTCTTTACAGAAGACAATACATTACGGTTGTAAGCCTGTTCCATTACAGAAGACTTGAGACCAGGCGTGTCAGAAACCACAACCTTAACTCCATCAATAAATCCACTAATCTCTTTCACAGAAGTCGTCCCAGTTTCAAACGCATCAATTGGTGCTTTCTCCTCTCCAAATATCGAATTTATGGTAGCACTTTTACCCACTCCAGATTTTCCAAGAACCAATATGTTCACATTGAAGTCCAAATCATCTTTTCTTTCTGTTTCAAGCTGCACGGCCATTCTCTTGGCAGCATCCACACCAAAAATTTGGCCATTCTGCCTTCCTGCAAGAAGTGTGAACCGATACAGAACCTGTGCTGCCACGGGTTCCTCTGGAGAAAGGCCTAATCTATGAACAAGCCTCAAAAACTTCACTCTGATCTGCTGTAACTTCTCCAGTTTCATTTTCTCTTCTTCACTCAAGTTGTTCTCAGATTCTCCCCTCCCAGCAAAAGTGGTAGGAGTAAAAAGGTTGGGGCGGTTTGGTTGTGGGGCAGGTCGTAAAGACCGGAGTGAAGATCCCAGGCCAGCAGGAGGCTCGACAGAGAAAAGCCTAGATACATCTTGAGAGGTTATGGTGGTACTACCACCATCTGAATCAGCACCTGTTGAAGCTTTCAAAAGAGCTGCCAATGCAGCAGAATCAAACAACTCTTTACCATCCCCTTCTTCTTCATCAGTGTCGGCTTCTTCTTCTGAGTCCGTAACAATTTGACCATCAATCCCTTGAGAGTGCTCAAGCGAACTGTCAGCGCCTGATCCCCGTTCCAGCTCCTCAATGAACTGCTTGGCTGCCTCAGAACTTCCAAATATCATAGCATCAGTTGCCTCATCTGAGATCAAGTCTTCAGGGTCAACTTCTTCATTCATTTGATATCGGCCTTCATCTTCAGCTTCAGTAATTTCACGAGGATTGAGGAATGGTTTTGATTTTGATTCCTTGTGGACCTCGTCCTCGAATTGATCAGTAACATTAACATGGGCAAATTCACCATTAGTATCTCCATCTCCTCCTACTGTTTCACTCAAGAGCTCAAGTTCTCTGTCATTGCTAATCTTCATACTAGTTCCATTCTCTTGGGTCTCCGAAACGCCAACTGTGTTAAACCCATTCTCTGACTTCTTTACAATATTCTCAACATCCTGAGCTCCGTCTCTATCAAGGGAATCATTTTCTGTTACACCCACGTGAACTTCATTTGCCATATCATCAACAGCTCCTGCATCAATCTTTTCATCAGCAGCATTATTGTCAGGTTCAATTGGCTTGAACTCAGAGCTTTCATAAACTGTTTCAGCATTCTCATCAACTGGAACTTTCACTCTTTCAATTTCATCTGTCTCCCCAACAACCACCACCCCAGGCACATTGGGGATGGGGGTGTCAGCCTTAGTGGTATCAACAATGGAATCTCCTTCAGATGTGAATTCCACACTACGTGGTTCTTCAACTCCATAGCTAGTTTCAAAAGAAGCACGGTCTGGTTCCACATTCTCATCAACTGGAACCTCCACTTTTTCAACCTCGGGTTCTACCTCCCTAAAAACAGACACCCCCAGCCCAGGGGTACCAACATGAATGTTATCAACAACAGAATCCCCTTCAGATGTGAATTTCACCCCACCTGCTTCATCCAACTCTGATTCTGCCGGTTCTAAAGAATTCCCTTTTGCAACCGGTTCAGTAGCTGGAGCTTCACTGGTTAAAGACTCAATCTTCTGGTTCTCCTCAGCCTTATCTCTATCCATCTCAACCTCCTCCACCACCTTCTTTGCATTAAATTCAGCATTTTCAAACTCCTTATTCTCATAACTATCTGGAAACTCACCACCACTTTCTTTTGCTCCCTCATCTAACTCAGAACCATGAACTTCACCCTTCTCCTCAAAACCCTCAATCCCAATCACTTTCGACTCGTCAGTATCACTATCACTATCAATAGAACCTTTCCCCAACAAAACCATGCCTTTTTCGTCATCATTAATCCCTTTTTCAACACCATTATCATTCTCAGAAACCCCAGAAATCGGTAAAGCATCAACCTTTACTATCGAAATTCCCGAGGCATCATCAAAACCCCTATCCTCAGCACCCTTCCCTAAAGTTTCCCCATCCAAAACCCTCAAAACCGCCTTCTCCGACGCCGGTTCAAACTCCTCTTGCCCACTAACATAACCCCCCTCGTCCTCTTCATCAGAAACACTATCCTTAATACCATTCTCACTATCATCCTTAACATCACTATCCACAACACTTGTTTTCAATAAATTTTCATTATCAGGCATATAAGTCGAAGACGAAGAACCTGAGGAAGTCACTGAAACGGGAAAAGCCGTAGCTTCATTAGAATCCATTGATGGAGAAAACGAGCAATGAAGGCCAAGAACAATTTGAGATAAAAGGGTTTTGAGGGTTCACGGATAAGGGAAGGAGGAGAAGTTTGAGAAGGAAAAGAAAGGAAGAGAGATTGTGATAAGGTTTTGGGGTTGGGTTTAGAGAAGGGATGACTGAAGAAGGGATCTGTTGCTTAGGTTTGGGTTTTTTAAGGTTTTTTTTTCTTTGACGTTTTTTAGCGAAAAAAATTAATGTTTTTTGTAGAAAATAAATTAATTAGAATTAATTTAAACCGATTGGAGATTTTTTATTTTTGAATTAATAATAGTTCTTTTTAATTAATTGACATGAATAGTTATATTTGTAGAGTTCGATTTGGATTCTTTGAGGTTTTTTATTTGACTTTTTGCGAGAAAAATACTATCCTACTTCATTAAGAAAATTTACTCGAGTTGAGGAATAAAAAGATTTGAGCAATCATCTCATTTGCTTATTTTGAGTATGAACAATATACTTTCTAAAAGTATTTGCAAAGTGTAGAGGCTTCTCGCAACACGCAAAATACACCACTTCTCGAATTTCGAGAAAAATGAAAAAAAGAAAAGTATTACACGGCACGTCACGACTTGAAGAAAAATGTAATTTCTTGTCAATTTATATTTTAATTTTGAAATAAATTGAGGGATAGGATATAAATACTTGGAAAATGCCAAAGGGCAAATTTCACAATCTTGGACTGCAAAATTGTGCTGTGATTTTCAATTGGTTCTGTCATTTTTAAGAGATGTGGAATATTTGTTTGGTTGTGTGCAGATGATAGTGTTTGGATTGAGTTTTTTGTTTGTTAATACGTGTGATTATTTACTCCCTCTTGTTCCTCATCTCCAATGGATGGCCTAAACTCTTTTTGATTTTTACTTACTAGCTGCAATCCCAACCTCCTTTCTATACTCTTTTTGGCTCTTCTTTTATACTTTTTAGCATTTTTTGGATACAAGAAGAAATATCTTTATCTTTACATAGAGTTTTAATTTGAAATGGAATCGTCTAGAACTTAGACATTATTCAGGTTATGAGTGGTTCAAGTGTAGTGAATCAATTTATTTGGAAGATATGATATGCATGAATCTATTTGATTTTTGGTTTAGAAAAATCTAATAAACAACTAAAAGAATTGTTAAGTCGAATGGCTCACTCCCATAGTTGGCCCACGTTGGATCGATTCGACCCATTTTATACCCTATCTCTAACTAGTGTCTCGAATATTTAGCAATCTCTTGTTTGTAATTCTTTTCCACCAATTACTATTGAAAATTATTTTATTTAAAATTTAAGTACGCCACTCGACCACACTCACCCGTATAGTTTGCCACAATTTCCTGGCCGAAGTCCAGATGTCTTTTCTTAGGCTTTCAACGGAACGGGCCGAAATGCCCAGGAATTCCTACGGATTTAAAAAGTACTGTGTGAAATTGACAAAAATAACATGCACATCGGGTTAATATAACAAACTCACTTTTTCTATCTTCATGGAAATTTGATTCTCTTTAACAAAAATGAAATCCTTTTATCCAAATGCAAATGACAATTGTTAGAATTTGGGTGTAACTCGAATTCCTTATTTGAAGAATTCTAATTGAAGTGCACGTCATGAAGTATTCAAATTTGGAATATTTCCTTTAATTTTGGTAATAAAATGGTTGAATTGTTTTAAAATTCTCATTTAATTGGAAATGATATCTTATGTGATGGTTTATATAAATTATCTTTGACATCTTCTGGTGAAGTCTCTTGTGTTGTGAATGTGTCGAAGAGAAGGTCTCTAATTCGGGAATCATCCTCCATGTTGTGGCGTAAGAGATTGGGTCACATTTCAAAGGATATAAATATAGGATGGATAGATTGGTTAAAGTTAGGATACCTTCCTCACTCACTTCTCTGATTTTGACACTTGTTTGGATTATATAAGAAGAAAGTTGACCAAAATTCACTAGGAAAGGTTCCACTATGAGTGATTTTAATGTTGAGCATATTATTAACCATGTACTTTTAATCAAGCGTTGACAAGTCTTGAGTCACAAGAATGGATAAATGCTATGGAAGATGAAATGAATTCCATGGAACAGAATAAAGTTTGGAAACTTGTTGAACTTCCTCCGGATACTAAAGTCATAGATAACAAATGGATTTTCAAAAATAAATTGGACTCAAAAGGAAATGTTAAGACGACTTTTCTGAAAGGGGATCTTTCGGAGAAGGTTTACATGAGATAACCTGAAGGTTTTGTTGTGATGGGAAAAGAAAACTTGGTATACAAATTAAATAAATCCTTATATGGCCTCAAGCAGTCGTCACGAAAGTGTTATTTGAAGTTTGACAATATTGTGACTTCTCTTAATTTTGTTGAAAAGTACAGTCGATCAATGTATTCATCTTAAAATCGGTGGGAGAAATATTATTTAACTCATTATATATGTTGATGACATTTTACTTGCAAGCAGTGATTTGACTAAGCAGTCAAATCCAGGGTAAGAGCATTGGAGAGCGGCTAAGAAAGTTATTGGATGCTTAAAGAAAACTAAAAGTTACATGAAAAGTTATGAAATATTTAAAGAATACTGATAGTTACATACTCACTTTCCAGCGTTCAAATCACCTTGAGGTGGTAGGCTACTTAGAGTCTCATTTTGCTGATTGTCAAGATGATTTGAAATCAACCTTAGGTTATATTTTCATGTTGGTTGGCGGTGCTATCTCGTGGAAAAATGGTAAGCAGACTCTAGTGGCATCTTCTACTATGCAGGTTGAATTTGTGAGATGTTATGGAGCTACAATTCAAGCCATTTGGTTAAGGAATTTTATTTCTAGACCGAAAGTTGTTGCCTCCATCTCGAGACCTATCGCTATTTATTGTGATAATAGAGTAAAAGTGTTCTTTTCAAGAAATAATAAAAGTTCTAGTGGATCGAAACACATTGACATCAAATATTTGGTGGTCAGAAACAGAGTCAATAAGGGGCAGTCGAAAATAGAGCATTTTAATATAGAGGCAATGATTGCTGATCCTTTAACTAAGGGACTCACTCCTAAAGTTTTTACGACACATGTTGCTAATATGAGTATTATGAAAATTTTTGATGTTTTTGGTTAGTGGGAGTTATTTATGTAAGACAACCCATATGTTTTCGGGTACAACCATTTCCAATAATAAAATATTTTTTTTCTTATCCATAAATTATTTTGAGTATGCGTTTGACTTATGTCTTTTATTATGATATTATTTTGATCTCGAGATGTGACAGTTAAAGACATAGGATGAGTCTCTTTTAGAGACATGTGGCTTCATTTGGATTAGAAGCATTTTGAGGACCAATATGATTTAACACAGTTTTTTATCACATTGGTGCTAAGTTCATGCTGCATACTACCACATTGGTTGGAGAACGGGATCCACGTCGATAAGGATGTTGGCATTTGTAGCTGTGGAGTGGTCTTACATCATTGATTGGTGTAACAACTTTCATGTTCGATATTAATATTCTTGTTGGACCGGATCATGTTATGTAAGGTGTTATCATTGCAGCTATATTTGTGTGGTCACATGTGTAGTCTGGCTCGGAGGTTAACAGTTCTATAGCAATCAAATGTTTGCCCAAGTAGGAGAATGTTAGAATAATTCTATTATGTGAACTTCCATTTGATTGCGAATTTTACGGGTTGGATGTATGGTTTGCAATGATACTGTGATTAGGCCCAATATGTTAGTGATCATTGGGCCGTTGTACACCTTACAGGCTATATTATTATAATGTATTAATTTTAAGTATGTGGACAGAAATTATGTAAACCCTATTTAGGGTTAGAGTCGGTAATGGGCCGACTTTATGATTTCTTATATAATGGCTAGGTCTCCTCTTCTCTCCATATGTTTTGGCTTACGCATTGACGGCCAATTATTTTGAGGAGCACGGAGGGGAAGGTCTAGCTGGTAATATTTATACATAATAATGTCTTCCGCATGTAGGAATTTCAAACTATCAATTGATATATGTGATTCTTGTTCTTAACATGATTATTGAATAATTACAACATAATCATCCTACATACTGACACCAAATGATTGTCGTCGTTTATATTTTCATTGGTATCGAACAAACACATTAATACATTGACAGATGCAGAAATAAGCTTGTTTTGATGGCCAGGGACAAAGAGGACCTATAAACAATCACAGAACACAAGTGAGACCATAATAAATTTCTATTAAGAAACTCTATATAAATTGACATGCAGCTCCTAGACGATCCCTCTCAACCGCCAGAAAATCACCAGGAGGACGTTGCATGATGAGTAGAACATTAGACACAGTTGAAATGCAAAAATAACATAAATATATGCAAGGCAGGATGACTCGTATGGAAGCCTTCAATTTTCTTTCTTTCTTCTAGTAACTTAACATTACATATTATTTTACCTATCTATAATGTGCTAGCTAAGAAGTACTGAACCTCGGAGTGCGTCAATCTTCATTTCACATCAATTTTGAGCAAATATTTCAAACAAAAAAAGTGATTTGTCCCGTATGGTTCAGTAATCTTAACACTAATATGCAGACAGGATAGCCATCAGTTTTTAAAGAGGACAATTATTCTTTAGTTATAGTCCATGTAAAGAGAGTGGGAAGGCTAATGAAGAGAAACATGTTTCAGTTTTTTTTCCTGGGCTTATAAACAAGAGAAAAACCATAGGGACCAGAACATACCTGAGTAACATCATCCATATGAGATTCTGATATGGGATCGTGGTTGAAAGATTCAAGAAAAGGAAAGAAAGAAGAAAGAGATGACGAAAACTAGAGAATCAAGAACTGGAGATGAGAAAACAGTGACTGAATTTTTGAAAAAATTTCCCTAATTCAGCATGAAGTTGTGAGATTTCACCTTGAACTTGGCCCATCAATTGTTCCTACTTATCCATGAGTTCCTCAACAGATCTGCTTCGAGTTGCGTTAGCCATGGTG